AAATGTATACCACCACAACAAGCCGTCCGGCTGGCACGGTCCAGTCTGGCGCCGACTTGCATCATGAAATGTGTACCACCACAACAAGCCGTCCGGCTGGCATGGTCCAGTCTGGCGCCGACTTGCATCATGAAATGTGTACCACCACCACAAGCCGTCCGGCTGGCATGGTCCAGTCTGGCGCCGACTTGCATCATGAAATGTGTACCACCACCACAACTAACCGCCACATGCTAGGCGCTGACCGGAAAATCGAAATTAAAAAGTACAAAAACCACCAAAGTAAAGAGGAGGAGGAGGAAGAGGATTCCACGACGCCCCGCCGGATTGATGGCGCCGACCATTCTTACGAACACCTTCCGCACGACCTAGAGCGGAGCGACGCGTCCACCTCGCGTCACGACGCGTCCACCTCGCGTCATGACAGTGACGACCACCAAATGCGCGTTGACAGCAACCAACATGATGTCTATATTCAGCCGGATTATGTTCAACAGGACCGGATTCAATCGGGCCATCAGATTCAATCCGACCATCAGATTCAATCGGACCATCAGATTCAATCGGGACACCAGATTCAAACGGGCGACCAGATTCAATCGGACCACCAGATTCAATCGGACCACCAGATTCAATCGGAACACCAGATTCAATCGGAACACCAGATTCAATCGGAACACCAGATTCAATTGGAACATCAGATTCAACCAAACCCTACTCAATCGGGCCGCCGTACTGAATTGGAACGTATTCAATGCGATCATCCGGAACTATTCATGTCCGACACGATAGATCGCGAGGACGACCCCCACGACGTTATGTTCGAATATATAAACCGAAGGCTACGCAGCAACCGAAGAAGAAGGAGCCAACCACAACTCGATATTCGTGAAGCAATGGGTCGTCCTAGTCGGTCTGGACGTACAAGGGGCGACCGGCAGCGAAGAAGGTCCCACGTTAACTCTTATTCTATCTCACAAATGTTCATAGAGCCGCTGATCGCTCTGACCGGTCTTCGTCGCTCGACGGGCAATGCCGGACCTCTGCGCATTCCCCGTCGCATCGCTAATGATCATGATAGCGACAGCGATGACAGCGACGATACTTTCTGGTCAGCTATAGAAGACGAACAGGCAGATTGGTCCCCTCCGATAATGTCGTCAGTCAGTGATATATTATGTGACGACGGTGATGACGACACCTTGCCTAATAACGCTGACCCGATCCAGGTTGACCCAAGCCGGAATGGTTCGGACCACGTGCGTTTCGACCAAACTGGTGCAAGCCAAACTGGTGTAAGGGAGGCTTCCACGAGTCACCCAGGGGAGGGTGACTCAAGCAGGGCTCGTCCGATTCTAATTGTCCCAGTCGGCACTCGTCCGATTCAGAGTATCCAAATCAATACTGACGAAAGCCAGAACGGCTCGGACCACACGCTCTGGGACCAAACTGGTGTGAGTCAAACTGGTGTAAGGCAGACTGACTCACCCAGGAGTCACCCAGTGGAGGGTGGCTCAAGCAGGACTCGTCCGACTCAGGCTGTCCCAATCCAGGTTGACCCAAGCCAGAATGGTTCGAACCATATGCATTCGGACCAAACTGGTGCAAGTCAAACTGGTGTAAGGCAGACTGACTCATCCGGGGGTCGCCCAGTGGAGGGTGGCTCAAGCAGGACTCGTCCGATTCAGGCTGTCCTAATCCAGGTTGACCCAAGCCAGAATGGCTCGAAGCATGTGCGTTCGGACCAAACTGGTGCAAGTCAAACTGGTGTAAGGCAGACTGACTCATCCAGGG